AAAGGCAACAATGCTTCGGCCTTCCTTGTTCATTGTCCAGCTTTCACAAGCATGGGTTGGCTACACCTGGGACCTCCAAGTGACATTTGAAAACAAAGCACATTAAAGAGATCTCTTACAGCCGAGTCTTCCTGGTACCATCATTGCATCGTGTGGTTTCCTGACTGGATTCCATGGCCGTTCGTCGGGGATCCAAGCAAGGAGAGCCTTGACAACTTCCATCTGTTCTTTGTTCATCGTGATGCTGCTAATTGGTCCAGGTGTGGAGATTGAACAAACAAACACTTTCTATCTTGAGGTATAATCTATACTGATGGCTGGTCTACGATCGTCATCAGCAAGGTTGTGTCATCTACATCTCGCACGTGGTTATGGGTCTTCCTCTAATCCTGATTCCGAATTCTTCCTAGATGAGGTGGCTTTAAAAGGTTTGCAGAAATATTCCATTATTTTTGTATCCCATTTTTTTCCATGAACTTTTTGGAACCCCTTCACACTCCAATTCTCAGAGTATTTGCTCAGCAATCAGACTGAATTAGTATAGCCAAAAGATACAATCCTAACTTACACCTTTCCCGGTTTTAAACCATCCCGTATCCCCTTGTTTTGTGGTCTATGTACAGCTTCCACATAAGCACAATTATGCATTCTAAAAGTCCTATTCTTTACAATATTACCTGTAGATTTTTTAATGATCCACACAGTAGAATGCCTTTAAATAATTAATAAGGGGTAGGGAGGGAGGGGAAAAAAAGAGGAGCTGATACCATGGGCTCAATAGAAAGTAACTGTCTAGAAAAGAATGATGGCAACAGATGTACAAAGGTGCCCGATACTATTGATGTATGGATTGTAATAAGCATTGTAAGAGCGCTCAATAAAATGACATAAATAAATAAATAATAAAGCGTAAGTAAACATCTTTCTGAGACTCTCTGCTTTCAGCCAAGACCCATTTGACATCAGCAATGATATCTCTTGTTCTACATCCTCTTTGAAGCAGGTTTGAATTTCTGGCAGTTCCCTGTTGCTGTATTGCTGCAACTACTTTGGAATTATGGGTTATTATGATATTGCTTGAGAATAGCTGCATTCTGCTGGATCACTTTTATTTGGAATGGGTCTGACTATGGATCTCTCTCGCTTGGGTGGCCGAGCAGCTGCCTGCCAAACGTTCTGGCATGTGAGCGAGCACCTCCAGGTTCCATCCTTTTGAAGCACTTCTTTGGGAATTCTGACAGCTCCTAGAGCACGGGTTTTTTTGGGGGGTTTCGGGGGCCCCTGCTTTCGGTGTAGCTTGAACTTCCTCCAGTATCACTGGTTCTTTATCATGGGCACCACATGAGACAGTTGCATGTCAACTACTTCCTTTTGATTCTTTGTTTTTCTTTTATCTTCTTTCGGTGTTTCCCATGTTATTCAATATTCTGCTGGCAGAATTTTTTCAATATTGTAACGCAAGGTTTCAATTTTTTTCCTTTCAGTTCTTTCAGCTTGAGAAAGGCCAGGCGGTCTTCTCTTTCACTTTTGTAACTCTGGGCTTTTACACTTTTCATTCGAATCGTCTTAGCCTCTGGAGCTACCCTCTGGAAAGGCCTATTAGGCTCTTGCTTCATCGTTGCTTCCATTCACATTGGCTGCCATCTATTCAAGAGCAAAGTCGATTCAAGGGGTCAAGAGTCTGTTCAAGATAGCTACTATCTATTCCAGGGTTTCAAAGTCTCTTCTCACATCCACTCCGGCCTTTCCTTTCTTCACTGTCTTTTTCACGACTTTTTACTTTCTGCCTATTTGATGTCCTTGATGTCATCCCACAACTCACCTGGTCTACGAGGTTGTTGCTGTCTAATGCTTCAACTCTATTCCTGAAATAGACTCTACATTCAGGCGGGATTTTTCTCAAGGTTGTATATTAGATCTTGTGAACTTGTTTTCATTTTCTTTAACTTCAACGTGAATTTGTATATAAACGAGTTGTGGTCTGTTTCCCAGTCTGCCCCTGGTCTTGCCTTGATGTAACTAATGATATCGAGCTGCTGCATAGTCTATTGCCACATAGGCAGTCCATTTGTTTCATGCATATATCACATGGTTAGGTTCATGTGCATAGTGGTCAGTGAGGTTCTTGAAAAAAGATATTTGAAACAATTAAGTCATGGGTCTTGCAATATTATAACATGTGCTCTCTGGTGATGTTTTTATCACCAAGGAGATATTTTCCAAATGCGGATCCTCCTTTGTTTCTATATTGTGCATTCCAATCACCAATAATTATCAAGGCATTTCATTGCATATTTTATCAATTTCAGAGCTGCACAAGTTGGTAAAAATCATCCATGCCTCCCTCTTTGGCATCTGTCACTGGTACATAAATTTGAAAAATAGTCAAGTTAACGCCTTTCCTTGTATGTGTATGGGTTTCATCCCATCACCGACAGCCTTGTGCTCCAAGGGCTCGAGGTTCTCTCTGACAGTGGGTGCGAGGCCGTTGCTCTTCAAGGTGCCGTTCCAGGCACGGAAAACCGTATGACTGTCTGATTCCGAACGGCCGATGCCAGGCCATTTCAGCTCACACAGCCTGGGAGACCAATATCTCTGTGTTCCATTTCATTACACACAACTCCCAATTTTCATAGGCTCTTACGTATACAGTCCACTTTCGGATTACCTGTGGGCGTGTGCTGCTTTCTCTTCTCATTTTGAGTCGTTCCCCATCAGCAGCTGAAGGCCCTCAAAAGCTTTACTTCACTCACATCATTAATGTGGAATCTACTCTGAAGGCCGCTCTTCCCCAATTGTACATTGAGTGACTCCCATTTTGAGAAATTCATTTTCTATCACTATATCAGATAATGTTATACTGCTATTTGTAATATTTACACCAGTCATTTCACCCACCCCTCTCCCATCAAAAGTAGACTGCCAGGTCTTTCTACCTAGTTTTAGTCTGAAAGATTCACGATGGGTGATCCTGCTGGTATTTGAAAGGCTGTTGGGATAGGTTCCAGCATCATAGCAACATGCAAACACCCATGGTGTGACAAAGTGGATCTTTGATTTATTGGTTATGAA